TTCGCCACTCCAATTTTAACTTCACGGACAACTCTTCCCAATTCTTCATTACGCTTTTTGTCCACTATCAACACTGCATTCGGCAATCCCATTGTCCAGCTCTTGGCTCTTTCAAACTCACTCAGTACGTGTAGATCGTGAGGTCTGTTTCCCTCTGGATGCCTTTACGCATGGAAGTCGACGTCTTCTCGTCTTACCTCCTCTACCTCCACAACAGCTATAACTGTCATCGGGGAAATTACAACTGGTGTTTACCTACAGATCCTATTCCTTCTTCAGGCATTCCACCTCTATGCTAGCCATCAATCACCTATCCTTCTCTGTCTCTGTACTCTCATCTGCCTCCGCCTCTCTTATTGCTCTAATTCGTATCTACAATTGTGACTAGTAACAGGGTATTCATCAACCCGCACTTTGATGTCTATTACCTCGTATTCCATGACCCCTGTCGAACACAGCCTCCTACCAGCACAATTTTTTCTTAACACAATTACCGAAAATGTTGGTAAGTATCTCTTTTCCCTCTACCCACTTTAGTCTTCATTATGCTCTTTCTATTTACAGCCAAACGTCCACATTTAGGTGTAGGATTGTTTGGACACAGAACTGTTCTCCGGGTCGTCGGATGTTGACTGCTCCTCAGTCACCAATTCCGATTCATCTATCCGCCTCCTCTCTGAAAGGCACATTTTAAACAACACCAGTTTTACATAGCCCTATCATTCTTTCAGCACCGCCCCCGGTGCTACCATTCATGAGTTGCTTCCAAAGCTGCCATCCAGTGGTTTCCTGCCTTCTGTGAGGAAGTAAACCTCATATTCATATCCAACCAGTGGTGCCACTTTGTAGGATCGCATCTTGTTATGGTGAATGGATACTGGCTGGGTACTCAGTTGTGCGTTGCGGGCGAGGTAGTTTGTAGGTGGAAAGGCTTTCATCAGCTAAAATGGGTCCTTGCTCCATGAATGATGGGGCTTGTGATGTATTACAAGTAGTAAAAACGATCAGTATATTTTCCCTAATCCTCCTTCTCCGTAGCAGTTCGTACTGCTGTGATGATCATAATATTTCTTCTCATAATTCACTCGCATGGGTCGACATCTACAAAGATTATTCATGTAGGCACCCCAGTGAGGTCAAGTAGACCACTTTGTGTGAAAACACCTGACGCATATACTAAGGGGAAAGACTAATTACTTATTCCATTAACCTGTAAGTGAATAATATGCGATTCAAGGTGCCAGAGGCAAAGGACCAAAGTAAGCAGTCTGCAGCAGAGGACAGCAGAAGCAAGTGGAACGGGAGTTAATTCATAGCACACCTCAGACATAGCTCAAAAGGACTATAGACTTTCAATTTACGCAAAAGACGTACAACCATTCCCTCAAGACACCCTATCTCCATGAGATAAGATAGGTTATGGAGCACACAATCAAGCCGATAAAAATTAACAAGCACTGAAGTTAAGACAACCAAAGGACCTACATTGCATCTCACGCATCATCAAAATGTGGAAAAAATAAACATTCACACTTCCAACACAGTTTTGA